CCACCGCTCGAAGCACCGCCCTCCGCGATCGAGCCAACGCCGGCCGCGAGGCCCGCTGCAGAACCATCTGCAGCTGAACCCGCGACGACGCCGGTGCCTCTGCCTAGCGCGAACAAACCGCCGCTGCCAACGGGCCCACCACCGAAGGCCATGCCAGCCGCGCGCCCCGACACGGGGCCGCCTACCGATCCCCCAGAGGATGCTGACATGGCTACGGTGCTGGAGGCAACTCCTGCTGACGACGTTCCTACGTCCGTTCAGTGTTTGGACATAATGCGCGTGCTTCCATGGCAGGACTGCTGCGAGCGTTCTTGCCATGAAGAACCAAGTCAGTCCTCTATGTTCGACAACGCACGCGCTCCTCGTGAGTATAAGCTTCGTGCGCAACAGCCAGATGATCACTACTACGTGCCCCCCCCCACTTCGGGGCACGGCCGCGCCAGGAGGCATGCAGTGCATCACTGACAGGGATTGGTCAGCCCAGTTGGACTATGACGATTGCGTGATCACCCACGCACCAGATCTCGACCATTTTGGTTGCTTTCCTGAGTACAAATGGATTTCTCTCCCTCCATGCAAAGAAACGCCGCGTGGTCCCGACCTGGCATTGACAGAATACCTCGGCGACCCCAGTACATGAGCAAGGATATCACGAGTATGCTGCGCCATATTTAGTATAGCAAGATCTTCAGCATCGACCAGTTCGCTGATCGGCGTGTTAACATATGGAAACGGCGCACAAATGCCAGGTGGAAGTTGACCAGCACACGGCGCTCCTGCGAGGAAATGGTGGAGTGGAAATTCCGCAGCCGTCGCGGTAGCAGCAACGGACCATCCGATGAGGCGGCCATGGAGCACTACCTCAGACACGGTCGGGACTATGACGCCTGGACGGATTATTACCCGATCTTTATCTTTCGCGCGCTCCAGACGCACATGGATCCAGAGAAGAATAGGATTGAGATCTACGGTGAACCATTATCCGCCCGGAGCAATCCCCGCTGCTTCGATTGGAGCAGCGTTCTTGCCATTCGTTGCGTAGGAGGACACAGTTCGGTCAACCCGCGCTCCCAGCCATGGAATATGGGCTGGGAAAGCCAACAGTGGACCGACGTGAAATACCTCCACCACGGCACAACATATCGTGCTTGGAGCAACATTTTGAAAGTTGGAATCGTCCCTGGATGCAAAGACACTTCTCAGCGAGACAAAAAGCATCAGGAGGAGCCGCGCGCCGAGGCATTCTACAGTTCGAGTGCGTACATGAAGGGTGCGCAGCCTAATCCTCACACATCTGTTACACCATACAAGTTCAATCGTTGGAAAAATGAGGTGGATATCGCGATTGGCATGTATATTGCCACGCAGTCTGGATGCAGATTCTGGCTTGGCGCCCAAGGCGCAATCATGACCGAGAACGTGGTTCCTTCTGCTGCAATCGTGGCCATTCGCCGTTGCAAGGGGGACCGCGACTGTGGCAAACAGTTGTGGCTTGCAAAAGGACCACGCTGGGACGACCCACCTGTGGAGCGCCAGCGAGCACCAGTCAGCAAATCTGAAATTTGCGCTCCGCCTCGGCAGCAGTCACGACAGGAGCAAGTTGCCCAGGAGTTAGAGGCTGACATGATTGCCGGTCCTCCTGGGATTGCCCCACCATCGCCGTCGGACGCACACGGACCCGCGCCGGCGGCAACGCCTGCTACAATGGCTTATCCTGTGGCGTACTCGCCAAAGCCTCTGCAGCAGACACAGATAGCCCAGATCAGTGGTTCCGAGTCTGCCTCTGCGTCATCGGCACAGCGACCCCTTGCTCCCACGCCGGGGGCAACCCCTGCTGGCCTTGCCGCAGTAACAGCAGCGCTCATTCACTCGGCAGAAAAATTTGCCGACCCCGATACTGTCGACGAAGAGGCCATTGTCCGTGCTATGGTTGGCAGGAGCACATACAACCAACAGGACAAGAATTGGCTGATCTCGATGGCGTGCTGCAGGGCGGCTCTCAGACCCATCGCTGCAGAACTCACGCAGAGAGACTGGAGCCGACGTCATATCTTCACAGATGTTCGTGTCGAAGACTTCATCTTCGAGAAAAATTGTGGTCATATCAACTGCTACCACTACGACCCACTACCCCAAGGGCAATTGTAGCACCAAGGCTCGCATGAACAAGGGCCACATCAACGGCCCCGTCATGCACTTCGGTGTCTTTGAGAAGTTCTTCGGAGTACAGATACCGATACTGCACTACGGGTTGCGTGGGGTACACATCTGGTACTGAGACAAAAATTTGCCCCTCGAGGGCATCGTTCATGCTATGCCCATACGTACTGACAAGATTGATGATACCCACATGGAGGTGGCGACGAAAGGACCCTCATCATGCAGCTCCCAGATTGAGGAGTATGCTCAATCACATGAGTTTCCATACTTCGGTATTCCTTCTATTCAGCGAGTGCGTATCCCACGCGCACCACCCAGAAACACCGCTCCTCGGACCCCAGGATCCGACCAGGAGCCGGTGGCAACACCCGCTGAAGATCCCATGGGGCTTGACGTAGGCATTCGGCAACAAGTGGTTGACACCACCGCCGAGCGCCCAACCATTGTCGTTGATGTTTCCGATGTTGTGGTAAGTGATGAGCAGAGGGCCGCCAACGACGCCATGGAGGCTGAGATGACAGCCGAGATCCAAGCAGATCAGAACTCTGGTACTTCTCTGTTCGAATGCATCCTTGATCCACCAGAGAATATCCTTAACCAGAAGGATGATCGTCCGAAAGATATCAACAACTGGACAAACTAATCGGGCAACCATATGGCGTATTACAGGACATCGGCACCGTTGATGGAGTCGCCGATGCTCCAGATAAACCAGGTAATCGAGATGCACGGCAGTCCCGACCTGCATCTACAGGACAAGATCGAATCATATTTGATATTCCAGCTTCGTTTTGGGA